GGACAGTGGGGATCACCTCAGGGGCCTCAAGGGTACCACGCCCATTCCTCCTCCCTCCTCCCTCACCATCCCAGGCCAACTCGGAGGAGTTCATCCCCATCTTTGCCAACAACCCTCGAGAGTTGAAAGCTTTCCTGGAACACATGAGTGAAGTCCAGCCGGACTCACCACAGGGCATCTACGACACGCTCCTGGAGCTGCGGCTGCAGAACTGGGCCCACGAGAAGGATCCACAGGTGAGGCCTGGCAAAGCTGGGGGAGATGCTGGGGAAAAGATCATTCTTTCACCTTCTGTGGTTGCTTTTTTTGCCACCTTCTTTAGGTCGGTAACACCTCACCCCTGGGAGCTAAGTGCCCCCTGTGAAGAGGCGGTTGAAGAGGCAGTTGATTTGCCTTGTCCCGGAGACCCTGTGATTTTGCTCTTCTGGCCAGCAGCTCTTTCCTCCTTCCCTAGGTCAAAGAGAAGCTTCACGCAGAGGCCATCTCCCTACTGAAGAGCGGCCGCTTTTGCGACGTCTTTGACAAGGCCCTAGTTCTCTGCCAGATGCATGACTTCCAGGATGGGGTCCTTTACCTCTACGAACAGGGGAAGCTGTAAGATGGGGTGGGGTCTTCTGGGAAGGGGGAAGGACGCGGCTTTCCGGGGGCGGCCGCTGAGGTGTGCCGTGCCCCGGCCCCAGGTTCCAGCAGATCATGCACTACCACATGCAGCACGAACAGTACCGGCAGGTGGTGGCTGTGTGCGAGCGCCATGGGGAGCAGGAGCCCTCCCTGTGGGAGCAGGCGCTCAGCTACTTCGCCCGGAAGGAGGAGGACTGCAAGGAGTACGTGGCAGCTGTGCTCAAGCACATTGAGAACAAGAACCTCATGCCGCCCCTCCTAGGTACTTGAGAGGGTGGGGTAGCGGGGGTGAGGGGCGTGCGGGCGGCCTGCAGCTCTGGGGCAGGGGCTCTGCCATTCCCTCCAGGGGGTGTCCCTTGCTTCATTGTCTCGTTTCCTTCTCGACCCAATCAGTGGTGCAGACGCTGGCCCACAACTCCACAGCCACCCTGTCTGTCATCCGGGATTACCTGGTCCAAAAACTGCAGAAACAGAGCCAGCAGATCGCACAGGACGAGCTCCGGGTGCGGAGGTACCGAGAGGAGACCACCCGCATCCGCCAGGAGATCCAGGAGCTCAAGGCGAGGTACGTGGCAACTGGATACGTACAGAGGTCCAGTGGATGACCTTGTTCTTCACCGGGTGTCACTAAATACTTTTCGTAGAGGGTTAGATGGAGCGTGTTCAGATATTTCATTCTTAAAGATCTGAGAACGGTATATTCCGTAGATCATGATTTATCGGGCTTTGGAGAGTGTTATCTTGTGGCAGGTACTTTTCTTTCTGTAGGAATCTTATGTTTTACTTTTCCTAAACACACATCTAAGTTGTGGTTTGAAGCCATTCAGAAGTAAAAAACTGCTTTAGAAGATACAGGAAGTGGATAATTTAGAAGTATTTATACTATATATTAATCTACTTTTAAGTTTTAATCTGCCGTTAACTCTATAAAATATTTATTAGAGAAGAACAGTTTCTTCATCCCACAAATATTTACTGAGCCCCTTTTATGTCTCAAGCACTGTTCTTAACAACACAGACAAAAAGCCCTGCTGTATGGAGCTTACAACGCAGAGATAGAAACACATTGAATAAGCAAAATATTATGTTAGATGGTGATAGGGTCTAAGGAGAAAATGAGTTCAGGAAGGGGAGTAGGGTGCAGAGCGTGTGTTATGTTCTCACGTATAAGGCGGCCAGGAAAGGCCTCACTGGAAAGGTCACATCTGAGTAAAGACCTGAAAGACCAGCATAAGCTCCCAGTTCTGGGATGACTGAGTCTCGGGGTTGGAAGGCACAGCACGGGGAGCACGGTCAGTGGTTGGTAACAGCACTGTGTGATGACAGGCGGTAGCCACACTGGTGGTGGGCACAGCAGGACACGGACTCGTCAGTCGGGGGTTGTACACCTGAAACCAACATGACCCATGTCAGCTGTACTTCAAGTAGAAAAAAAAAGGAGATATGAAGGACAGTTTAGTGGTAGTTGTGAAAACTGGAAGCGTTAGTTGGCCTTGCAGGGAGTGTGTGCTGAGACTGCAGGCCCAAGGTGGGTGTCCTCGTTTGACTCCCTGTTGGTGACAAGGGCAGGGCCTTGCAGTCCCTTCCAGGGACCTCTCTCTCCTCCTCGACTCCAGCCGCCTTCACTCTGCACCCGGCTCTCGGCTCTGCCCACACTCTTTGCCACTCCTTTCTGGTCTCCCTTGCCTGCAGTCCGAAGATCTTCCAGAAGACCAAGTGCAGCATCTGTAACAGTGCTTTGGAGTTGCCCTCAGTCCACTTCCTCTGCGGCCACTCCTTCCACCAACACTGTTTTGAGAGTTACTCAGAAAGTGATGCCGACTGCCCCACCTGCCTCCCTGAAAACCGGAAGGTCATGGATATGATCCGGGCTCAGGAACAGAAACGCGATCTGCACGATCAGTTCCAGCACCAGGTGGGCGTGAGTGCATGGATAACTGTCCCACTCACCGAGCCTCACGGGACCATTAGCTGGTTTTCTTCCCTCCTCACTGAGGACAGGAGACCTGCAGTTCTGATTCTTCTCTCCTCTTTCCCTGCAGCTCAAGTGCTCCAGCGATAGCTTCTCTGTGATTGCGGACTACTTTGGCCGAGGTGTTTTCAACAAATTGACTCTGCTGACCGACCCTCCCGCAGCCCGGCTGACTACAAGCCTGGAGGCCGGGCTGCAGCGGGACCTGCTCATGCACTCCAGGAGGGGCACTTAAGCAGCTTGTGGGGAGGGCGGTGCGGCAGTGGAGACCCAGGGGACGCAGGCAGGGCAGACACACAGTGCCCAGGACTCCACCCTGATCTGATGCCATAGCCCTCAGGAGTAAAGGGGACTTTCTTTTTCTCCCTCCTCCTTTGGCCAGGCCGCCATTCCTCCTCTTGACTTTTTGAGCAGTGTGGATCATTCCAGACCAGCGGGGGAGGGCACCTCAGCAACCTCTGAGTATGAACAATAGCTGCTTTATTCTCTGTCCAAGAGCACCAGGCCGTGCTTGGGTCCTTGCTCCCAGAGTCTATAAATAAAAGGATATAATAGTTTGGGAGTTGAAGGGTTTATTCTGGGGACTTCATGGTGATTCTTAGCTGTGCAAAATGTACTTTTCCTCTGCCCTGGAAGAACTCCACTTCCTTTCCTACACAGTTCCTTGAAGACCATGTTGAGAGGACCTCATTCCAGTAATGGGGCCTGTGGCACCTAGTAGATTTTGATTTACCGAAGAACCTCTGCGAAAGGCCTAATGCTTTTCTGCTCCAAGAGCAGCCTGGATCAAGGCCCCCAAAACAGCGTCTGCTCTGCAGTCTGGCTGGTCTCTATGGCTCTTGTTGGAACAACGTATTCAAGCAGAAGGCAGACTGGTGGGGATCCTGGGGTTTAGGCCTGCACGATGGTAGATTGGTGTCTTGCTGGATTTAGTATCGGATGATAAACAGGATAAAGGGGCCTTTACTGAAACATTTTGTTTACCTCCTCTTCAAAGTTGCAAGCTGAAGTTTGTGTTGCCAGGTGTCTGCCTATTATTTGGGTTACACTGCCTGTCAGAAAATTGCTCTGGGGCACCTGAGTGGCTCAGTTGGTTAAGCATCCGACTGTTGGTTTCCGCTCAGATCTCGATCTCAGGGTTATGAGTTCAAACCCTGCATTGTGCTCCAAGCCCAGCATGGAGCCTACTTAAAAATTTTTTTAAAAAGGAAAATTGCTCCTATGGGGTTGCTTAGCCCAAGAAAGTAACTTGGACATTGTGCTTAGGTAGTATTTAGGAGAGGCAGAGTACACTATATTTATCATGGCTAAAAATACAGACTTTGGGTCGGGTGACCCGACTTTGAATCCTAGTTTGATTAGGGCATCTCTTACCTCCTCTGAGGCTGTTTCTTCATCTGTACGTCAGGAATGAGAACACCTTCCTTGTACAGCTGTTACGAAGGCGGAAGGAGCAAACGGGTGTCTAGTTTTTTTTTTTTTTTTAAGATTTTATTTATTTGACAGACACAGCGAGAGAGGGAACACAAGCAGGGGGAGCGGGAGAGGGAGAAGCAGCCTTCCCGCCCAGCAGGGAGCCCGATGCGGGGCTCCATCCCAGGACCCTGGGATCATGACCTGAGCCGAAGGCAGATGCTTAACGACTGAGCCACCCAGGCGCCCCGGGTGTCTAGTTCTTTTGATAGTGGTTAGCACGTGGGTGCTCAATACATGGTTATTAATACTGTTAGTGGATAAAGCACTTTTCCTAACACACTTGTTTCCACTAACATAATAATGTGTTGGCGCTCACACTTCAGTTATATGTCTTTAGGCATGACCTTTGATCTCTGAACCAGTTTCGTCGATTAAAAAGTAGGAATGTTGCCTACTTCAGGGTTGTAGCGGAGCTGTTTTAAGGGAGCCAAGGAAGCTCCACATAAGTTGCACTAATTGTGCCACAGCTAAGGGGAAAAAGCTGTACAATTCTGGGTTGCCAACTTTCTGGAGCATCAGCTCATGTGGAGGTGTGGAATCCAGCCAAAGGAGCGCGGACGTGGCTCAAGGACGCTTTACTTCCAACGCAGCATTTTGGGGTTGATATTCTTTTCCGCTTGGGCAGGGCTAACTTTGGCTTGACTATCCTTTTGGGTGGTGGTCGGGGGACTGCAGAGTTTGCTCTGTGGGTGAATCTGGGGAGCAAATCTTAGTCACTCACCATCATTATTCTTGATTCAAAACGAGGTGTATGTAAAATAAATGAACAGCAAGCCCCGGGTCTCAAGCCAGGAAGACTGGGGAGGACGGGAACCCAGTGTCCCCACCAGCCCGGCGGAATAGGGGCGGTAACAGATGGGTAAGGTCGTCTCTGTCGCAACGTTCCAATTCCCGCCCCGAGGGTGGTCCTCCCCGAGGGCGGGTGCCGGAAGTGACGCAGGGCCCTGAGTCTGCGGCTGCAGGAGGAGCTCGGACCCGCGTGCACCCGCTGGCCGGGCCCTCCGGCTCCCCCGGCTCCCCGGGGGACCTCGGCGGCAGTCCCCGGACCTATCTCCCGAGCACAGCCATGTCTGGCAACGGCAACGGGGCCGCGACGGCGGTGAGTACTGAGCCGGGGACACTCGCAACTTCGGCGTTCCGGACTGGCGGCTCAACGATTGGCTCCAGGTTCCCACCCTCCGTCGTCTATTGGTCGGAGCGACTATCCGTCGTTTTTTTTTTTTGGTCAAAACAGTTTTTAAAGCGCCAGTAGCTCGGTTGCCCTTAGGAAGGACATGGGAACTGTGTGAGTGGTGGGGGCGGGGTTAAGAGTGGAGGGATTGTCTGGACCGGAACCCCCATCCCTGCGGGGATCTGGGTGGGGTTCCGCCGTGCCTGGCATCCACGGCCCTAGATTTAATGACCCAGCCCAGGAAAGTTCGTCTCCACCAGACAAGGTGCTATTCCCGGGATTCTTTCACACGAGACAGGGCCGAGGCGGGATTCGGCCGCCTTGGGAATATGTCCCACTTTGGATCCTGAGAGAGCGAACCCCCAAATCCTCCAACTGCACACAAACATCTTGAAAGTGCGCCTTCTCCCCTTTTTCCCTTTTAGCGGTCACCCAGCCCCAGCCTACTCTCAAGGTCCCCAACTGAGACACACCTTTGGATTACTATGGTGGGTGGGGCGCCACCCTTGAGTCTTGTCCCTAGCTGGCCGCCCGAGCTCTGGGCTTGTGTAGATGAAAATTACAGCCAGTGGAGGCCACTGCCAGCGCGAGATAAGAAAGAGATGGGGCAGCTGCTTATCTCCGAAGTCCAGCCTGCTGGGGAGGAGAGGGATTTTTTGCCATTACAGACATTCTTGAGCACTGGACTAGGAGTAGGAAAATCTGGATTCTGGCTCCAGCTCTTTTCCCATTATTAGCTGTGTGACTCTGGGCAAGTCATTTCACTTCTTAGTCGCTTCTGTAACATGGTCCCGGAGATACCTGCCCTGTCTACCTGATAGGGTTTTCATGAAGATTAAAAGCGATAGTTCCAGCATGTACATGTTCAATAAATATTTTTTAATGGAATAAAATATGCTGTGCAGAATCGATGCAATTAAGGGATTGTGTGAACCTAGCGGTTTCTGGGACCTTAGATTCCTTTCTGTGGGCTCCCAGTGCCCAGAATTTTAGTGGCCATGTTTAGCATTTTAGGCCTGGCCTAATTTGCTCAGGGTCCCTAGGGTTTATTTATGGAAGAACTGATAGCAATGCAGTAGACTAGGGTCCAGGAGCAGCCAGCTGTCACATTCACATCCTCCAACAACAGAGGACCCAGAGGCTTGCCTGCAAAACAACTCCATGGGATGAAGATCTCAGAATGGGGAAAGTTGACATAATGTACGGTGGCTACTCTCTGATCTAGAAAGAGATAGGACCTCAGACTGAGGAACGCAGTTTTCCCTGCGTGGCACTGAACACTTTTGTCCAGCGTGCCCTGGCAGGAGGAAGAGGTTTGTCCGTTTGAGTTCCTAGCTTGGTCAACGACGTTCCGATATTTCTGGTTGGTGAGACCAGAGGCGGCACTCTAGGGGAATGGACGTTAGGCAACTTAGCCTTTTAAGTCTCGGAGAACATCTGAGGCAGAAAATACTGGAGTCCCAACCTCTTCATTTTATAGACGAACAGATACTGATGAGTTGCTGTGCTAAAGGTCAGCTTGCCAAGAGGCTGAGCAGGACTCTATGTAGGATCTGTTGACCGCGGTCCTTTATATATGCGTTCCTGCCGGGTTAGGGATCCATGGTGTGGTATCTGTGGGGTAGCGTTGGCAGCCAGGTGACAACACACCAGTGCCTGCTGTATTGTGGATACTGAACTTGTCCTTGGTGACTCAGCGCATGTTCTCTTGTGGCCCCAGCTGCCCTGCCCCTGTCTGCTGCGGGACCCACCCTCCCTGTAGCCAGGCTGATGGGCCTTATCTCTTTACCCACCCGGCTCTGTGCAGCACTCCCCCAGCCTTAGCCAGGATGGGCCTCAGGGCTCAGCGTCCAGTTATTAAAGCAAGAGCAACGCAGGTCCTGCGAGCGCTTCCCTCAGGTCTCTGTTTGTCTGGATCTGTGAGGAGGGCAGAACGTACTGAGGAAGGTAAAGGGACCAGTCTTGGAGGATTTCCCCACATCAAGGCTCAGCAGGCCGCAGGCCAGGGGCTGAGGTTCTTTTCTTCCAAGCCACTGATTCTGGTTCTTGGACAAGGTGTTGAGGAACACGAGGAACAGAGGGGACTGTGACTTGGGGATTTTTTTCTGCAGGAAGAAAACGGCCCAAATATGAGAGTGATTCGTGTGGGTACCCGAAAGAGCCAGGTGAGTACGGTTACCGGGCAGAGGAAGTTTGTGGGAAGAGTTCTGTGCTCACGGTATCACAAGTTGGGGGGCCCAGAGGGTTAGTTCCCAGGACCTCAGAAATGGAAGATAAATGGGGTGGCTGGGTGTTAAATCCCATGAAGAATGGCATATTGCATTCTGTGGAGAGAGAGTCTGGGCAAGCTGTTGGGGTGGAGAGGGCTCCCAGACCAGACCCCTCTCCTTCCTAGGTGGGCATTCAAACCCCTCTCTGAATTCCAGTTCCTTCAGTAGGTCCCTAACCCTCTGAGGGTGTGAGCTCAGGGCAGTGCCAGGGGAGGATAGGACTAATCGGAATGTTTGCCCCCAGCTGGCTCGCATACAGACAGACAGTGTGGTGGCAATGCTGAAAGCCTTCTACCCAGGTCTGCAGTTCGAAATTGGTGAGTTTTCTGGACAGGAAAGGAAGCTAATGGGAAGAAGCTCTTCCCCACCCGTAGGGGCAAACACAGCATTTCTGGCTTTCCCTAGGCTCCAAGCTTCATCCCATTGCCTCCGAGAATTTTTTTTAAAGATTTTATTTATTTATTTGACATGAGAGAGCACAAGCAGGGGGAGTGGCAAGCAGAGGGAGAGGGAGAAGCAGGCTCACCTGCAGAGCAGAGGATCATGACCCCCAGGATCATGACCTGAGCTGAAGGCAGACCTTAACCCACTGAGCCATGCAGGCGCCCCGCCTCTGAGAATTCTTGGCTGTCCCCAGTTTGGAGGGCCATTTCCTCCTCTGAATACTTCCAGCTCTGACTCGCTGGGCCAGCCTGGCATTTAACATCTTCTGCTTTGGGTCTTTTTATTGGTGTGTCTAGTCTTCCTGCTAGCTCATTACATTCCCAGAGGGCAGGGATTGGGGTATATGTGCCTCTGTATCCACTAGAAGTCTTAGCACAGTGCTGGGCTCAGGAGGGGCTCAGGAGACACTGCTCAATGAGCACCCGATTGGTTCTCTCCTCAGTTGCTATGTCCACCACAGGGGACAAGATTCTTGATACTGCACTCTCTAAGGTAACATATTCCCCCCCCATCCTTTTCCCTCCCTCCTTTCTCCTCCCCCCAAGAGATTCACTCTGGGGCTCTTTTTTATTTTTATTTTTTTATTATTATTTTTAAAGATTTTGTTTATTTGAGAGAGAGAGACAGAGAGTGCGAGAGAGAGAGAGCACACACGGGAAAGGCAGAGGCAGAGGGAGAAGCAGGTTCCCCGCTCAGCACAGAGCCCGATGCAGGGCTCGATCCCAGGGCCCGATCCCAGGACCCGGGGATCATGACCTGAGCGGAAGGCAGACACTTAACCAACTGAGCCACCCAAACGCCCCTTCTTTTTTATTTTTAAAGATTTTATTTATTTATTTGAAGCAGTGGGGAGGGAGGGAGCACGGTGGGTGGGAGCGGCAGAGGGAGAGGGAGAAGCAGACTTCCTCCCTGAGCAGAGAGCCCAACATGGGGCTCGATCCCAGGACCCTAGGATCATTACCTGAGCTGAAGGCAGCCGCTTAACTGACTGAGCACCCAGGCGCCCTTCTGAGGCTCTTTCTTGACTGGCAGATTGGAGAGAAGAGCCTGTTTACCAAGGAGCTGGAACATGCACTGGAGAAGAATGAGTAAGTGAAAGACAGTTCTTACTCATCTCTTGCTAGGACCCCTGTGCACATCAGACCTGGATATCAGCTAGACTGTGGGGCTTCAACCTTTGGGTAGGCTAGAGGGAGGCTCATATGTGGGTTTCTCAGGCCTCAGAAAAGGAGAGTGTCCTGGTTCTGAGCCATCTGGCTGCCTGGAAGGCGGGATTGGCTGGGGGAGGGGGACAGAAGGGAGGGTGCAGGGCTCAGGGTCCTGAGGTCCTGGACAGGCCCGCTTCCTAGCAGACCACTGAAGTAGAGGCAGGCGTAGGTGGGGGGGGGCGCCTGCTGCTGGAATTCCTTCTCCTTGCCTCCCTCTTCTGTCTCTCTAGAGTGGACCTGGTTGTTCACTCCCTGAAGGACCTGCCCACTGTGCTTCCTCCTGGCTTCACCATTGGAGCCATCTGCAAGTAAGAACCGTGCAAGTTGGGCATGGGCAGGGGGAGGCATCCTGTTAACCTCTGCTTTTCCCTTTGGGACTCTGCCCTCTGCCTCTAGGGAACTGAGAACATGCCAGTTCGTTGGTTATGGAGAGAGCCTGGAAGTGACCTGCACTGAGATCTCTTCCTCATTCTTTAACTTTCCCTCTGTTTCCAGGCGGGAGAACCCCTATGATGCTGTTGTCTTTCACCCAAAATTTGTGGGGAAAACCCTAGAAACCTTGCCAGAGAAGAGGTGAGTGGGGCCTGGATAGGCATCCTGGTGGGACATGCACAGAAGGTGGAGGGCTGAGAGGGAGAGGAGGAAATCTCGGGTTAAATCTCATTTTAAACCCTCTCTCTGAGCAGTGTGGTGGGAACCAGCTCCCTGCGGAGAGCAGCCCAGCTGCAGAGAAAGTTCCCACACCTGGAGTTCAAGAGCATTGTATCCTTTCCGAGGAGGGAGGGGGCAGTGGCCAAGGAGGAAGGTGGGGTCCAGAGGGTCCAGGGAGTCACGAGAGCAAAACGAGCTTCCAGAGGAAGTGGACACAGGCCAATGGAATGTCTGTCCTCCAGTGTCTGCCCTAGTCATCCATCCACCCACCCACCCATCTACCCATCCACCCATCCATCCATTCATAATCCTTTCGTATTTTCTTAGCCCCAGGCCAGTGCCTGGCACTAGGGATAATGGTGAGCAAGACCAATGTTGTCCTTGCTTATAGAGTTTTACATTTTTGTTCTGGAAACAAATGAGCATTGATAACACAGAGTGATACTAAACAGTGATTACTTGGGAAGGGGGGGAGGTGGAGGGTGCTTCCATTTTTATTTCATATTCTGTTTTGATATTCTAAATATATCGAATGTTTTATAAAGCTAATTTTCAAAATAGTATGTGTTAGCACTCCCATGCACAAAGTAGGGAATTCTCTGGAAGCTTCTAGCTGGAACATCTATAAGCACAGACTTGGGGGTCAGGGAATGCTTCTCAGAGGTCTGGTAACCTTGGGCAAGTTAGTTAACTTCTCTGTATCATCTTCCTCATCTGTAAAATGGAAATAATTAGAAGACCTACCTCACTGGGTTGTGAGAATTAAATAGGAGTATGTAAAGCACTTTCTTTTTCTTTTTTTTATTTTATATTTTTAAGGATTTTATTTATTTGCCAGAGAGAGAGAAAGAAAGAGAAAGCACAGCAGGGGGAGTGGCAGGCAGAGAGAGAAGCAGGCTTCCCACCGAGCAGGGATCCCGACGCAGGGCTCCATCCCAGGGCCCTGGGATCATGACCTGAGCCAAAGGCAGACGCTTAGTCGCCTGAGCCACCCGGGCATCCCTGTAAAGCACTTTCAATCAGTGTCTGGTGTGTAGCCATCAAGTGTGAGTAATTAAGTTAATGTTAGCTGTAATCAGTAAGCAGAAGACCAGAGGGGAGCTGTTAGATACAGAAAGACTCAGGCAGGGGGAGCAGTGTGAGGTTCCAGACTGCCCAGTGCTTGTGGTCCTTAGCAACCCTGCACAGCGGGGAAACCTCAACACGCGGCTGCGGAAGCTGGATGAACTGCAGGAGTTCAGCGCCATCATCCTGGCCGCCGCTGGCCTGCAGCGCATGGGTTGGCAGCACCGGATGGGGCAGGTAGGGGCTGTCCCTGTTCGTCCCCAGTTAACCTTCCTCCTTCTCCTGCCTGTATTCTCTTTCTGAACATCCTGCCTCTAACGGTATAAGCTGGACATGGGTCCCAGGCTGGGAAGATAGGGGATCAAAGGCCAGACTCCCACTTTTGCCTACCTAGGCTTTCTGTGTGATAGGAAGCCCCCTCTCACTACTGTCTGCTTTTGGGCACCCCCATCTTCACCCTTCGGACTGTCTGTTCTGCCCCTGCAGATCCTACACCCAGAGGAATGCATGTATGCTGTGGGTCAGGTATGTTTGACCAGGGAAGCCATGTGTTGATGTGCCCTTTCTTTTGTTCTCAACCAAAAAGCCAGTCTCATAACCTTCTGCATCTCCTTCTTCCGGCATAAACATTTCTAAGGAGGGGCAGGCCGTGGGAGGCTCCTGGGCTAAAAGGGATCCTTCCTGGGGAGCAGGAGGAGGTGGGCTGGTTCCCGTCCTCACCTCCAGTGGTTGCAGAAAGATTAGGCCTGATGTCTTAGGCTGTTTTTCCATCAGGGGGCCCTGGGCGTGGAAGTCCGAGCCAATGACCAGGACATGCTGGATCTGGTGGGTGTGTTGCATGATCCGGAGACTCTGCTTCGCTGCATTGCCGAGCGAGCCTTCCTGAGGCACCTGGTAGGGTCCATGTTCCACCTGTGGAGGGGTGGGGACTTGAGGAGTTGGGAATAGTTGACGGGAGATTTCTCATATTAATGCTCTTATTGAGAGGTAACTCATTCTTGAATGTATGGACAGGACCCAGGTCTGGGCCCCTGCCTCTGTTTCCGTTGTCTTCCGAGGTGTCTGTATCTGAGGGCTCTGGCCACACGGTGGTGTTGAGTCCCTGGTTCACAGGGAGAACTTCTCATTGCAGGAAGGAGGCTGCAGTGTGCCCGTGGCAGTGCATACAGCCATGAAGGATGGGCAAGTAAGCAGGGGCGGGTGGGCGGGAAGGCAGGTAAGGGAGCACCGTGACATGTTCCTGTGCATCTTGAGTTGCCCGCAAAAAGATCCCGGGTTTCTAAGCAGTGCTCTCAGAATATGCTGAGGTAACCTGTTTTCTTTGCCAGCTGTACCTGACTGGAGGAGTCTGGAGTCTAGACGGCTCAGATAGCATGCAAGAGACCATGCAGGCCACCATCCGTGTCACTGCCCAGGTGCCAAAGCTGGAGAGTGAGGGAGAGGGTGAGAAACAAACCTGCCTGTTACCTCCTCTTTCGTGCTCACCAGATCCCACCTCCTTCCCTCACCTAGCATGAAGATGGCCCCGAGGATGATCCACAGCTGGTGGGGATCACTGCCCGGAACATTCCACGAGAAGCCCAGCTGGCTGCTGAGAACCTGGGCATCAGCTTGGCCAGTTTGTTGCTGAACAAAGGAGCCAAGAACATACTGGATGTTGCACGGCAGCTTAACGATGCCCACTAACTGGTCTGTGGGGCGCAGGTGCCTGGGTCCTATTGTCCAGTGCCTACCTCCCAGCCCTCAGTGCCCTATCCTCACTGCTACCTGGTGAGTGATTACCCCAGGGATTGAACTGCAAGGTCAGAGACTTACTTACCTCACTTTGGGGCTGTGGGGAGTGCCTTGCCTCTGCAGTAGGTGGGGGTTTCATCTCTTTAGAGAAAAAGTTCAAGCCACGGCCTTTGAATGTATGTAACCAACTCAACTAATAAACCAGCTCTGAAGGTGACTTTGTTTTTGGTGAGGTTGCAGGAAAGATAAGGACACAAAGCCTGTACTCTTTACTTCAGAGGCTGGGACCTCTGTGCAAAGTTCTCCTGGAATGTTCTTTGTTCCTGCCACAGCAGTTCTCATTTCAAACAACAAACGGTCTCCCAGCAAAGAGCGGTGATCGGAGAAACCTAGGACTTGCCCCTCTCCAGCTAACCCATATGGATATTCGATAGGTGGGCCATGTATCAGAGTTCCCCTGCCGCCCCCCCCACCTCAGGATAGGAGTCTACAAAGTCAGTGCTACAACTGTTAAAGAATGACAACAGACACTGCGTTTTTTTAAAAAAACAATCCTTTAATAAACAAAATTAGTCCATCTGAAACTCCCCAATACGTAAGGTACTAGTCTTGGATGGGTTGTAGCTGCAAAATTCCAGTTCCGAAGCAATCGGAGGCTCAGTGCAGACAGGGACGAACGGGCCGGTGCTGGTACGGAGGGAGGTGCGTGGCCCGCGGAGTAGTCGCCAGAAGGGAAGTGGGGCGAGCGGCGGGGCCCGAGGGCCCGGCTGCGGTCACCGCGGGCGCGCGCGCACACCTCCTGCGGTCCCCACGCCCCGCAAGGCCGGGCCCCCGCCCCTCCCCCGCCGCGGCCCGGGCGGCGGTCCCCGCAGAAGCGTCCGGCCCGCGGGTGCAGACGGCGGGACCCGCGGGAGGGGGAGGGGGGGCGGCGCCGGGGCGAACGGTGATCCGTTCTTCCCGCACCGCGTCTGGAGAGTCTCGGCCCGAGCACCAAGCCGGAGCCCCGGCCCCGGCGCGCACCTCAGCCCTGCGTCAGAGCGGCGAGCGGCTTTTCCAGGAGGCGCCGCGGCCTCCCCGCCGCCCATCCGCGGTTCTGGGGCCCGGGCGGCTGAGTCACGGGCGCCGCGGCGCCCGGGCCTCTGCGCCAGGCGAGCGGGGCCGCCCCCCGGCCGGG